TAATAGTATAAAGGATAACACCACATGATTATCTCAGTAGATGCAAACAAAAAAATCATGGGAACAGAAAACAAAATGAAGAGTGTGAGCAAAATTAGAGGTAGAGACAAAGCTACTTTACATAAAGTGATGAGGGGAATTTCTTCAGGAAATGACATTCAATATGATATCTACACAACCTGAAGGTCCTACTCATGCAAAGAATAAAGTGCAGAGTGTAATTCAGCACTTGGTATTGCACTTTTCTTCATTTTATAATTCTAACTCCTAGCACGGTGCCTAGTCCATTTGTTAAATTAACAAATGGATAGTATCTTTCTTTCTTATAATCATATTTTATCACTTTACATGTCATTAAATATTCTTAGAACACATTTTAATGGCTGCATAATATTTCACAATACAGTTCTAATAAAGTTATTTAAATGTTTTCCTGTTCATAGATATGCTCGCATGAATCAACACATCTGGCATATTCAATTTCATTGACTTACCTATTTAATAATATAAGACACTTGGAAATATTAATATGAGATACTTTTCTTTCTTTTTAAGTTGCTATTAATTCAAACCTTTAATTGAGAAAGTATGGGGCAGAAAACATGGGGTAATACATATGTATTTATATATACACATGCACATACATGTATATGTATATAATACATATATAATACATACGAATAGAATAATATATGAATATATCCTCTCACCACCATGTTTTAGTTTTTAATTTTATATTGGTATCCTTAGTTAACTATTCAATTTTCACTATTTACATGGAGAAGGTGGCCTCATGTACTTCATGTGCTACTAGCAGGTGTTTTGCACTATCTGAATTGAGAACATTTTAAGTGAATGCTAGAGAAAAATCAGAATTTCTGTTCCAGATAATTGCCAAAGCCTCGGATTGTTTCCCCACCCCCCACCCCCCCTCCGAATATACCAGAATTTGACTTCCCCCTTAGCTCTAATTAGTTTTGTGATTTCGGGTTACTTTAAACTCAGTTTCCTCATCTGTGAAATGAGAGTGATAATGATCCCATAGGGTTATTTTAGACATTATGTTTGTGTAACAGAGTCTGACACAGTAACTGCCCAGTAAAACAAGAGCTTGTCACCTTTTAAGTTTGTCGTGGTCTTGGGAATATTGGTAAAAGTGAGTGTTCCATATGCTTCGAGACCTCATTAGCAGGTACAGATCAGTTTACTAATAATGTTTCCCTGAAGATGTTTACTTTCACTCTTGTTAGGAGCTGGTCATTTTCTTCACTGAATATGGCTATTATGGGACTGTTTCTGCACATGTACCAAAAAAGATTTGGTCAGAAAGGTGATATTTTAAAGTGCTATTAAATTAGATCTTTTGACATCAACTTGTAGGTTATTCTTTGCAGTGCTTATAAATATAGTTATGGTTACTTTCTTCTTCTAACTTTAAAAAGCAATATACTTTTTTGCTTCAAGAAGTAAAAAAATAATTGAAAAATGAACAATTAAATTCTACTTGAATTTCAGTGATTTTATAGGTAATTTTGACAAGGGGTTGCCTGAGATATAACTCCTGAGGTTAGGGTCTGGGAATCTGGGAAATTTCCAAGGCCTGGCACATTCTAACAGGGATACTAATATGATTGTAAATATGATTGTTTTTAAGTTCACATGTAAATCATTGCCTTCTAATGATAAATGATCGGGAAAAGTGATTGTTTCCCTATTCTACTTCAAATTCTTATGGGAATATAAAATCATTCCAATTCGAGTCTAAAAAAAAAGTTCTATAATTTGGGGCATGACACTTAACTAGGCCTGCTCTGTGTTTGTCTTCCCTGTATAAAATGGGATAATGCCTTCTCTGCTTGTCTCACTGAGTTATGAAGATCAAATGAGGTCATGTTCATGAAAGTGCTTTGTAACTGGGAAAGCATGTAGCTTGCTAATTATTACTCCAGTTCGTCCTGTCAGACCTGCCCTTTCCTCGCTACTATTTGATAGGTCACTGGTAGGGGTGACATGATAGTTCAGAGCTCTGTAATGTGCACCACCTCTTTGGAGTGTTTATTTTATACTTGTACTAGGGTGTGGACAGTTGTAGTCTGTTGCTATTTTTATTCTTTAATTTGCCTTGTTTATTATAAAAGTAATGCATGTTTACTATAAAGAAATTAGAAAATACAAATCAGCAACAAGGAAAAATAAAAATTACCTCTAAATGCAGAAATAATGATATTTATTTTTGTATAATATTAAAACAAAAATTCATTCTACTGAACGTAATGTTCTGTTTCCTGTTTTTACCACTTAATATATAGTAAGTTATATAAAATGATATGCAATAATTTCTTATAGGCTATTTTAATGGCTACATAGTATTCCCCCATGTCATATACTATGATTTACTTAATTAGTCCTAAATATTTTATTTTGGCATTCAATGGTGCAACAAAGCAAACTGAAAAATAAAGAGGATGGCCCTGTTGGTGAGTTCTCACCCACATTCTTAAGAATGCAGGGCACACAAAAGAGTTGTGAAAAGGATTTATTTACATAGAAAAGGGAGAATTGAGGGAGAAAGAGAAAGTGAGAGAGAGAATATAAACATTTATAGGTCAACCAGTAGCTGGATGCATTCTTCTCCTACCCGCAGATGATGTTGACTAAGCAGAGACCAGGGTGCACTCCAAAACCAGCTGAAAAGAGCAGGCGCACATGTGTTCAGTCTTTTAAGTACAATGTGGTAGCTCAGCTCTGCCCCTGGTTCTCAGCAACCTCCCCCATTCACAAAGTCATGTTTATGGCATGCTGGGAGTTATAGTTCTTGCTACCTGAGATCTCAGCAGTATGGAGGTGGGGTTGGAGTCTGGAAAGCTCCTCCTCTGCTATGAGTGTCCTCATTGGCTTGGTGCTTGGTGGTCCCTCTTTACTGTTTGTCTCACAATGGCTGTTTTAAGTTTTTTACAATTAGATGCAACATTTATAATGCCATCCTTATGGTGAAATATTTGTATCTGTCCTCATTTTTTTTTCCCATTAGGATAAATCCTGGACTTGGAATTGCTGTATCAAGGTGCATATAACATTTAAGACACTTGATTAATAAAACTACCCCTAAATACAGAAATACATTTACTTTTGTGTAATTTTGAAACAAAATTTCATTTTACTGAACATAATGTTGGTTCCTGTTTTTTAATCACTTAATATGTTGTATAGAATGATATACAATAATGTATACATCTATATATATATATATATCGGTAATAAAATAAGCATCAATAAATAATCAATAGAATATTCCTCAAGGAACTTGCAACATTTTAAGACATGGCTTAAAAAATACAATTTTTTTACAATTGTATTTATTGATTTATTTAAAGATTTATTTATGCATACAAGAAATAGGGTACAGGCCAGAGGTGCAGAGGGTGTCTCTGGATTCACCAGAGACAGATTGGGGAGCAGAGCAGGCAGATCTAATGAAATACACTACTGAGGGGAGCAGGGGGCGAGACAGGAGAGGTCTGCTGTGCCAGTTCATGCTGCAGTGGCTGTGGATTGCGTCATAATGCTGACACTTAACCCCTTGCACCACCAGGGAGGCCCATGAATTTTTTACAATTTTTTTTACAATTTTTTATCCAAGTGTATATGTCATAAAATAAACTGCACATATTTAAGATATACAATTTGATGAGTTTTGATATGTGTATCCCCCTATAAAACCATGTTCTCAGTTAAGGTAATGCCCTTTTGGAATACCTTCTTCCTGCACTCTCTATCCCCAGGCAACCACAGATCTGTTTTCCCTTCCTATAGATTAATTTGCACTTTCACAATTTTATGCAAATGGAGTCACACACTATATATTCCCTTTTTTGGGTCTGACTTCTTGCGCTCAGCATAGCGCAAGAAGATTGAATTTTAAAATTCAATCATATCGGTGATTATATCAATAGCGTAATCTCTTTTTGTTGCAGAGTAGTAAATATTCCATTGTGTGGTTTCAGTGTAGAAGGGAAATTTTCTCCTATCCCTGTAGTTTCATCTAGGTTGGCAAATAATATCAGAATGACAAGAGAAAGAAAAAAGTTTAGTAATAACTTGTATACATACCTCTTTTATAAAAGAAACCCAATAAAACTGAGTAATTCACCCAATGGCTCACATCACCACCTTACTTATCTTCAGCTAGAGACCAAGGATGTTGGGGAGGAGGAAGGTCAGTCACAGAAGGTCACCAGCAAAGACACAGTATAAACATGTGCATGAGAGGTCACCAGGAAAGGCACTGCAACAAGGGCAGGACTTGTTACACAGATTTATGTTGCTGCTTTCTCCATTGATAAGAATTGAAGAGATTAGGTCTTCCAGTGTACAATGAGGCAGATACCTACAAAGGGTGATTTTCCAGTACAGTTACTGTCCCTCACAAAGGGTCAGTCTCCACCTAGCCTTCAGAGCCCCTCCTAGGAAGTAATAGTTATGCCAAAGAGGCGTATTTTTGAGATAATAGATTTTGTTCCCTTACACTGTGCGTACCGTAATTTACTCACCTAGTGATAGGCATTGGAGTTGTTTCTAATTTTAAGCTATTAAAATAAAATGACTTTTGTGCATTGGTATACAAGTCTTCCTATGGAATAAAGCATTTGATATTTATTACCGGATTTTGTACTGAAAGGTCACATAGGTAGTATTTTGAAATAGGAAAAGATTAATATGAAAGAGACCATAGCTATTTCTTTCTTTCTTTTTTCTTTTGGTAATATACCTTTGGGAGGATTTAGAATTTTTAGACATGAATTGATTTGACAGAAAGTAAAGATCTGTTGCTTTCCTTTAATGAACAATTCATAAACAAACCCCTGTTTCTCTGTCAAATGGTTACTTCAGTATCGAACTTGAACTTGAAAATGTAGCGGGAACGTTTACAGAACTTAACAAAGGATATTTCGGAATCTGGTTTGAAATAAATGCCAAACTATCTTTTTCCTCTTCTTAAGATGTACACTAGATTGAAAGAGAGAGGAATCTGAAGACTTCAGATGACACCAGAGCTTCTCTCAACAGCCTTCTCAATTTCCTTTCTCAGAAAGCAGAGACTCAAACCTTGGAGACAGTGGTGAGAATATTTTTCCTGAGTTCTTAAAGCTTAATTATTCTAATGGTATTTTGAACAATTCTTTCTTAGTTGTAAATGAATTTATAACCACCAGATTTGTATTTTATTCTTTATCTTTGCAAATTATTTCTTTAGACAATGTGGTTTTATGAAAAAGTAAGATGCAATCCTATAGTTAAGAACCTTGCAGGGAAAGAAGAAATATAGATAATGAAATGTAATCAAACAGTAGAAGAGATTAAATGCCATAAAAAAGACTTGTGAGTTCAAAGTTGTGGATTGTTCCTGGAGGAAGAGGGTTTGGAAGCTTGAAGTAAGAAATAGCATTGTATTGATGATACTTCACTTGTTTTTCCCAAAATCCAGAGAAAATGGATACTTAATATAAAACCTGAAATAACAGTCTGATTTTAGATGAAACATTGCCATTTTGAGGAAAGTCAGAAGCTTGTTTAGTTATTGTAGATTTAATATACTCTAACTCAATGGTTACTTTTTGAATTACATGAAATGATTACTTCTTGCAAGGCAAATTAGTATATTAGTTCTTCTGAGAATTAATAAAACAATCTGATTAACTTAACACACATAGGTGGAAAGTGTGTCAAAAGAGATGAGTAAGTGGCTAATTCAAGTTGGATTAACACTCCTATTTCCTACTATACTATAATCTAAATGAATTTGTCATGTCTTTTGAACCTTATGCTGCTTATGCCCAGGTAGAACTACTCCAAGTAAACCAGAAAAGGCACAGTGATTGATTTTTGTGCTCATAATTAGCTGTGAAGCATTCACTTTCAACTTGCTAGCCAAAAATTCTGTCCAGAAGAGAGCAGATAGAATATCTTAAAAATTCCATTATTTTGGTGGACCACAGTGTTATAAAAGGGAAATGGTAACTTTGATCTAAATGTGTTCTTCATCTCTATGCATAATGTGTTGGGCATTTTTCTTTACTATTCTGATTATATGCAGAAAACATGGTGGTGTTTTTTTTTTTGTTTTTTTTTTTTTTTTAAAGATTTATTTATTTATTTACTTATTTATTTATTTATTTATACAAGCACTGGGTACAGTCAAAAGTGCGGGAGGGTGAGAGAATTCACCAGAGCCAGAGCGGGGAACAGAATAGGCAGAAGGACCAAAGTACACTGCTGAGGGGAGCAGCGGGCAAGGCAGGAGAGGTCTGCGCACCATGTGGGACCCTCACCCAGTGGCCAGGGATCGAACCGGCACTGTAGAGGCTGCGGGCAGCTTCGCAGCCCAGCGCTCAACCACTGCGCCACCGGGGAGGCCCTATGGTGGTTTTATTTTAATCATTCTACATTTATATTAATTACTCTGCTTATAATTTCCTGTATGAAAACCTTTAAACACTATATTTATTAAATAAAAGGGCTATAAAATTATTAGTGATTATTATGTTACTGGTCATTCTTCATAGATTCTTTGGTTTTTTTTTAGATTTTTAAATTAACCAAACTTTCATTTGTAAAAGTTCTTCATTCAGGTATAATTATGTGGTTATAACTGTCTGATAGTCAGAAATCTGCTTTTATATTTAATGGAGTATAGTTGATACTGAATTCCAATTGTTTTATTGTCACTAAAATGAAATTTATAACCATGAATGTTTTTATGTCCCTCAAGATACAGTTTGTTGTTTGTTAATTTGTCAGCACCTTTGTTTCACCGTGTAACCAACAACCACTTATTATAGTTGGATAAATAAATTATAGATGGCCAGCCAGCTGGAGAATATACATAGTAAGTTGTCCTTGAATAATGATTTAGATCATTTTCCCAAATAGAAGACAGATTATTCAGAATGTATAGAGGATGGCTTTAAAGGTAAAGAAAAGTGAATCATTAGTGATTATGTCATTTATATATATTCAAAAATAGATTTTTGAAATCTATCTTGATTTTTTTTTAAATCAAGATTTTAAAAATGAGTATTGTGTATATTTTTTAAATGAACTTTGTTAAACAGTTCTTCCTTTTGAATGAGGAGCCCAAGGTAAATAAATTTGAGAGATGTTGAGTCATAGTATATAATGTTTCCACTACTCCTTTCATTTGCCTGTGGACTGCCAGTTTCCAAAAAGAAGGTCACATATATACCTCAGGAGAGCAGTCTTCAATAGAATCCTGTTGACTCATTTTTGCATAGAAAACCTAGAAAAAAATGTATTGTGACTTTTCCAACAACCCAATATTTCATGAGGTTTTACTGTGGCTTCTCTGTCAGAAAGAGTCATATTTTTAAGTATATCAGTGTCCTTCTGGAGAAGAGGTCAAGAGAGGGCGATTGGAAAAAAGGAAGAGAATAGAATAATTTTGAATTTTGCCCCAACATATATGTTAAGTATAAAATGGAGTGTTTATAAAACTGCTTAATATCTTAGACCAAGGATTATTTCCCTTTCTCTCCTGGTAACTCCCTCTTTGGAAAGAAACAGCCATCCCATAGAAATAACAAAATCATCCTTCATGTATTTTATAGGACTTCATATACTTTCTGTGCTCTGTTTATATCAATGTTTAGCACTTATTAGCTCATTTTGATAAATACTAATGAAATGAAAAAGCAGTGCATATCTTGGTTAGGATAGGTAATTGACCATCAGTTTAGCTTAAAACCTTGAATATACTCAGTTTCTTACTGGAGTTTTTATTGTTACATCTCATGATTGTTCATTGGAAGAGTTCTTTATTGTACTTCTTTCCTAGTCAATCAAGTTGTTGAAGGCTATTTCAATAAATATATTAAGTGTTAAAACTTTTATGTCAGATATAGAAATGTCTGTAGAAAGAGCTGAAAATGACCACTGATTCATCAGATTCTAATAGATTGGGTTGATGGGTCTGTAAAGGGAGCCTAATTATCTACATGGGAGGCTTTCCCCACACACTTTACAAAACATCCCTCAAACTCATGTTTTTAATTTAAGAAAGTATTTTGAAAAGTGTTAAAACATCTACACAAAATTTTCAGTGTTTGAGGGCAGGCTGTGAGGAGTATCCCAGGACCCTGAAACTTGTTCAGTCTAAATGGGTTCTGCCATCTGCTGCATAAAGAAAAAGCTTACTCTTATTGTATAAAACCTTCAATAGAAAAGAACTTTAATAAATTAGTGTCATAGAAAAATACAAAAGGACAATAGTTTCACAATGAGACACCCAAAAATTACCCATCCCTTCGTGGGTAAAGGCCCATCCAAACAGGGTTAGACCAAAGCTGGGCCACTGAGGCCCAAAAATTTGCCACAAGTCTAAGACCTTCTGGCAGGGACCCATTGGAAAGGGGTAGAAGGGGCCAGGCAAGTCTGGAAAGAAAGGAGCAAATTGAAATACAAATCAAGTTAAAGACTGCCAGTGTTGGCTTCTCCGTGTGTCTCTCACCCATGTATTTCTTCCATGGCCCCAAGTCCCTGGTGGAAGTCCAAGACCAAGAAACAAACAGGACTTCACATGTCCCTGCTCCATGTGCCTCCTCCGGTTTCCTTTTTCAAGCCCTTTTTAGCTTCCCCCTACCACTCAGCACCACCCTTCATTAGTTGAGGCAGAGAACAGAGAACTTCCCCTTTTTTGGTCACACTGTTACAACATCAAAATCAATCCAGAATCTGACTGAGTCATTTTAGTCAGAATTAATTCCCATAAACTCCCCTGGCTATCTCACTGATAACTGGCCTGGCTTCGTGTACAACAGGGCAAGAGAATTTGTATGCTTGACTCAAATGAAGACTTATTAATATCCAGTGTTGTTTCCTGGTTCAGAGTTCATTTCTCATCCAGAGGTCTTGTGCTGCTGGGCCCTATTACTGGTGTCCGTGTCCCAGCCTCTCACAGCCACCAGTTCTTCCAAAAACTCTGATTTCCTTGTGTTACTGCTCTGACCAGAATAATTCGGTGATCCCCGTAGCATAATACCCAGAAGAAATCAAGCCTTCCTTAGTCAAACCTAATTTATCCTTATGGTGGGAAACAATATAATTAACATTTTTCTGAATTTGGTATCTTTAAAGGACTGATTTCCTTAAGCCTTTTACTTAATACCTTGATTGAAATATGAAAAACATCATTTGGGGAGGACAATTCCTATTATAACAAGCCTCCGTGTCAACTCAGGTTTTTTTTTCCTCTCCCATGAAAGATTTCAAATGAAATAGTTAAATTACTAAAAAATGTGTCCACCAGAGTTTAAATTCACTTTCTCTTCTTACACACACTCTGGTCTTTTTCACTTAAATTAACTGTGGTAAACCTGCTATTCTCCTTGATTCTCTGCTACATTTGCTGTTCAACCCTGTGGCCTGTGGTTTGCACATCTAAAATTGGTGTGATTCTAACAGTGGAGCTTATTATGCATTTTATTTAGATAAAAAGAACTTCCCCATTCTGGATTAGAGATAAAACTAGCAATTTTCAAACCTCCTTTATTTTCTTTTTTTGCATTTATTTATGAAAAGATGATTGTGATAGTGAAGACTATGCAAGATTCTAGCGTTTTTGTCTCCTGCTTTTGCAGCTCCTCCCTGCCTTCTTGCAGCCTCTTCTCTAAGCTTCTCAGAGTATCTGTGATGCAGGTGCATTTTTGTTTGTTTGTTGTTGTTGTTTTTGTTTTTGTTTTAGTAAATCACCTTTAGTATATTTTTTAAAGCTTCAATCTATGACATATTAGAAATTAAGAAAGTCATATAAATTATGAATTCAAATCTTTCAACATTCACTTGATACACCTCAAATTACTGTCAAATTTCACACGTTTCTAATTATTCATAGTTCCTGTTTTTTTGAGTGTATTATTTCAAGATTCTAGAATATACCTATGTACTTCTGTGTTTCCTTGCTATACCTGATGCTCCTCTCACTTGTCTAAAGGTTGCTTTTTAGCTTCTTTTCCAGTAGGCAAAGGCTTGATTCTTGCTGGAGTCAATCCCCATGCCACCTTTGTGAAGTCCCTTCACCAGAAAACTGTTGCTTGCCTTTCTCCC